CATCTACAGCACGAGTAGGCAACTGGCGGCCTTCTAGGTGTTTTGGCATTCAAGTCCCATCAGCCTTGCCTATGACCATGGTGAGGGCTAATGGGAGTTGTAGGTCAAACTGACTTGTAATCCACCCAGAGAGTCTTACAGCTAATGAGGCGGGATTTTAAAAAAAATCTAATAAACAACATCTGGAGAGTCATAAAGGGTCACCCGATTTAGTTGTTCACCACGATGTAACAGGCGCTGTTGTTTTATGCCCATCCTGGTGCCTTCCAGAGGTGATGGACAACACGTCTCCTAACTCTCAGCCAGTGAAACTGTTAGCCGTACTAGCTGGGCTTTACAGGATGCAGGTTGGGGAATGCAGTATTATATTGCTTTTATTATTGATTTTTGATAGAAAAATCAAATAAACATTCTTAATACATCCATAATGGAATCATTCCCTGGTGCTTATTCCATTCCAGTCATCAAAATGGACTGGCTGCAATCCTGCCCCATCCCATGTATACTGAAAGCAAACCCTAGCATATTCCCACAGCTCTTGCAATGTGCAGAGATCCATGACAAATATGCAGGCATTCTTCCAGGGAAATTGGTCGAAACACATTCTGAGTTCTTGATGGGGGAAAATGATTGTTTGCTGTGAGCTTCCATCTCCAAGCTTAGCCATATTGCTGAAATTTATTTGCCAAAAAGGATAAAGAACATTTAAATCTAGCATGCATTCAACATGTACAAGTTTCCTAGCACAAGTATTATCATGCCTTACCCATTCTGGATAAAATGAAATTAACCATCTTGCGGTCAGGACTTTGAATATGCATTTTGTTACCACTGTTTGCAGGTGGAAGAACATTCTGGTTTTACCAGTTTATCAAGCTTTTTGAAAAGAAACTCCTTGCTGCCATCTCACCACTAATTAATAAGGATGGATGGGAAGGCACGAAGCAGTCCAATATAAACAGTACAAGCAATGGGAGCTTAGGGGATAGAGTCGTATGCATGTTCAGACAGACAAATGTACAACCGTTTCCAGCATGCGCCAGTCAGCATCACTGGATGAGGAATGCTTGAAGTTGTAGGCTTTTATTCTTTCTAAAGTATAGGACTGCACCCTAAAAGGCTGTATAAAATTCAGGGCTGAGAGGAAAAATGGCATACCACCGCAGAGGCAAATGTCATTGATCAGATGGGAAAGATACAAGTGGGTTGGTTTTAGAAGAGCCAGGAAAAAGAGCTTTGAGAGGAAACTAGCTGTCAGTGGGGAAGCATGCAAGTCACTAATTGTATTTGAATTGCTATGCATCTAACAAACAGAAATACTAAAAGGGTCTGTATCATTTATCCTTTGTTATTAAAAGCAGCTTAGAAGGATTTACAAACTACTTGGAAAAATGAAATGTTTCTGAAGTTAGTTGGAATAAGAATGAAGCAATAGTTTAAAGCAATTTCTGACATATTCAGGGAGACCATCATAACAGCAATACCAAGATAGTACTATACTCCTGCAAAATTGCACTGCATAAGTTAGTCACTTTCGGCCAGTGCAGAAGGAGGTTCTGCACTGGCACATAAATCCATATGTGATGTGCAAGCTCCAGGGTTGAGGGTTCAGTTCTCGGGCAGAACCGTTTGGAATTATCCTGGAAATATCTTTCCCTGACAGGCTATTTTCAGGGATTGCTGTCTTATAGAGACCTACTAAATACTTTGGTTGGTGGCAGTTCATATGGAGCTAGTGCAGCACTGGAATCAAGTTCAAACCATATGAAGTTGCCTTATACTGAGTAAAGTCACGGTGCATCTAACTTAGCAGTGTTTATCCTATCAGTCCCCAGTCTTTTTGGATCCATGATCACATCTGTCAATTTGAATGACTGCTGTGTCATTTCATGTCTGTCAGATACCACAATCTCTCTTTGCTAAGGAATTGTCTAATTCAGCTAGTATCTGGTAAATGTTCTTTTAAATGTATTTTTGACAATGTTCAGTGGTTGCTTCTTTTGAGGCAAGGTTATTGCACAGATCAATTTTGTACTGGAACAGTCTTTCATATTCACTGATGTACATGGTCTTTTGAATTATTCACCTGCTTCATGGAAACAAATGGGTGACCTTAATGGATTCTGCTCACCTGTTTGGTTTTAGAACTTATGCCCCCTAGTAGAAAGAGTCTATGAGGCCATGGAATTCTTTGTATTCTCAGATCCAGGGTTGGAAAAAGACCTCTGACCTCAGAGCTGGGGATGCGTGCTTGGGTGTCTGTCCCCACTTTTACAGCTGGTATAGAAAGAATTACAATATCTGATTGCCCAAGATGAAAAAGCAACCCCAGAGAAGGTGTAAAGGGGGTGGGGGGATAATACCAGGATTGCTGCAGCCTTTTTCCCTCCTTGCCCAAAATGAGAGAGCGCAAAAATTAGACTTGTAGAGTGTGTGAGCAGGAAGGCAGTCATTGCCTCTGCCGCTTCCCCCACTCTGCACAGGCTGCTTTGGAGGCTTACAAGGATCAAGGGCAGCACCCTTAGGATTGCATTCTAAAAGACTGATAAGAGGTATAAACATTCACCTCTCATGCAATGGATTGAAGACTTTACAACACTCTCGGTATTGTGACATATAGTTTTTATTGCGTCGTTGGTCCATTTTAGTTGACAGCTTTTGTGAAATCACTAGAAAACTGTAAGCGTTTCATGCAAATACACCTAAGTGGATAAAAAGGGGACTTTGGTATAGAAACCGGGTGCCCATGGTCACAACAGTGGCAGGAGCAAGGCAGGCAAAGCTCTTCAAGGTTTCAGGATTCTTTCATAACCTTACCTGAAGAAGTCAGGTTCAAGCCTGGGACCTTCTGTTTGCAAGGAAGGTTCTCTACCACTCGCTCTGACAGAATGATTATTACCATAAGGTTATCTGATGTAATTCCAGGCAAGAAAGGCAAGAGAGCCAGTGTGGTGTAGTGGTTAAGAGCATGGGACTGGGACTCAGAGGGTCTGGGTTCTAGTCCCCGCTCAGCCATGGAGCCCACTGGGTGACTTTGGGCCAGTCACAGACTCTCAGCCCAACCTACCTCACAGGGTTGTTGTTGTGGGGATAAGGTGGAGGAGGAGAATGATGTAAGCTGCCTTGAGCCCTTTGTAGGAAAAAGGCAGGATATAAATCGAAAAATAAATAAATAAAAAAATAAGATCGCTTTATTGAGACTTGGTTTCTCTTTCTTGACATTCATCATCAGATCTGCCAGACTGCAAGCCCCAATGTCAAATAAATCCTTCTGGGTGTAATCAAAGAATGTACATTATCTCCTCATGCTTGAGCTATAGAAGAAAATGACTATCATGTGGTCCAGCAATTCATTTCCTCACAATGCAGAGGACGCACAAATTGTTTTTGTTACATTTTTATTCGTACTTCTCGTCACTGTTCTCCAGCTCCCTTGTTTGTTGTTCTCGTAATGCTGTAATGAATAAATCAATAAAATTATATTGATCAAAATGGAAATTTACCATTTTCATGGTAATTTACCATTGAAATATGGTAAAAGGGGGAAGCTGCCAGTATCAACGAGAGAAAGCAACTAAATACCGTTTCAACAAAGTTGAAATCCTATGTACCCCCTTACTTGGAAGTTATCTCCACTGAACTTAATGGAGAACACTTCTGGATACACACAGGATTGTGCTGCAAGTCTTGCGCCTGCTTAAGGCACAATCCTCTGCATGTTTAAAGAAAAAGGCTTACAACTCCTAGCAGGCCCCAGCCAACATAGGCCTTTCTGGGGCATGGTTGCCCTTGTAGACCTTTTTCTGTCTTTAGCATGCATGAGTGCTCCCTTGAATAGTAACATATTTATTAAGTTTCTGTAGACAAGAGTCCACTTCATCAGATGTTAGTGTTGGCAAATGAGCACTGTTTCATCCAGCAGGAAGGGCAGACTAAATTTGTTCTCAATCTCAAACCCCTGACTTAATCAACATAGATTTTATGAAGAATACAGATATCTTCTGGCACAATCGTAAACACTGAACTGCTAACAGGGTAGGATTGAAAAGGTGAGGACAACAGAGAAGGCTGACACATATGCAAGACTCAGAGCCGGTGTCAAGGGCCAGCAGGGTGGGGCAACCCCTGAAGGCCCATGCCTCATTGGGGGGCCCGGTAAGAACATCCCCCTCCAACTCAGAGAAGAGCTCATTCGCCTGCTTTTTGCTCTGGGCCGAAGGTCGTGAACAAAGAAGCCACTAGAAGGGGTGAAATAGACCAGCAGTGGCTGCCCCAAACCTGTTCGTTTAGACTGCTTGGCTAAAAAGCAGAAATGGCAAGGACGCCCAACAAGCAGCAGCGGACCACAGCGAGGCAGGTCGCTGAAGGCGCAATCCTATACAAGCTCAGATAAACAGGGAATTGTAGGCCCTTTCTTCAGTCTAAGCGTGCTCAGGGTTGCGCCCAGCGTGGGCTAATGCAGATCGGAGCCGGCACTGGCAAGGCGATCGCCTATTTTCCGTCACTGAAGACCCCAAACTGAGCCTTCACTCCCGAGCATTACCATGGCCCACACTTTCGGTCAGCTGCTTAGCCCTCGCTGACCTCCTCCAGCGCATCCTCTTCTCGCAGTTCCCCCTCAGGGGAAACAAGACCCAGCAACTCGGCCCCGCCGCAGCATCCTGGAGAGCGCGCGCGCCCGCGCGCGGCAGCAACAAGCCCCGCCTTTTTCCCTCCCAGCGTTTTGGACGCGAGCCGCAGCGCGCGCGCGCAGCACCCTTCCCGGGCCGGCCGTGGGTGGGAGGAGTCCGTCACGTGACCTCGGCCCGCTGACGCCACGCGGCGGCTCTGCGACGGCGGGGGCGTGGGGAAGGGCTGCGCCCCGGCCGGTGCGGGGGGCGCCTGTCAGCGCGGAGCGCTTCCGCTCGGCTCGCCTGCGCGCGGGCTTTGCCTGATGGTAGAACGCGCGCGAGCCGTAGGCATTCCGCCGCCATGAAGCCCGGGCGGGTGAGTGAGCGAGCGAGCGAGCGAGCGAGCCGGGATTGGCCAGGAGCGACTGGGGCGGCGGGCGGGCAAAATGGAGATGAGGCGAGGCAGAACACCCGGGCGGGCCTTCTGCAGGTGGCAACTCCTGACCTCAGGCAAGGGCAAGGTGAGGATGAGGGCCTCGGCCAAACCATCTGTGGCAGCTTCCCAGCTGGGTGCTGGGAATCCCACTGCGACTCCAGAATAGGGTTGAGAACAGCCTTCATTGTCTCAGTTTACCGGCCTCGCCCTTGTCATGTGTCTCAACCGCTTTTCCGACGATGGAGATAAAGGCAGAGGAACAGTCCGAGGCAAAAACGTAGCAGTGCTACCCAAGTGTGTCAAAATATCTCGTCAAAACACTTCTTCACATGGTAGGCTTACTCCCTATCGATTCAGAATAAGTGTCCCTGTTGTCCTGTCCCACTTGCATAAAACTTCATGAAATGAACTGCTGTATCAGCCCAAAATAAGAGTCAGCTCCCATTCAGAGTTGCAAAAGATTCATATGCTAGCTAAAAGTTTATGCATGCACAATAGAGAATGCAGAATCTGCTAAATGCCCACACACATACCACACTCATATTGCAGTCATATCATATGCATACCAATTGGGTGGACTGTGGTGGATTATTCAGAACCAAATACACATTCTTATATCTTTCTCAGTTTATATATAGTGCTTGTAAAACGCACATGGTAACTTTTATATACATTGTAGATATAAAATGCAGAACAATAACCATTTAGATACCACTAGATCTGTAGACTAAAAAATATAGAGAATAGACACATCTACAAAGCTCAACAATAGTGGAGTTTTGTAGATTGATTTGCTTTCAATTTAGTCTCCTGTGTAGAAAATGGCAAGCAAAAGACTGAGTGCATACAGGCTACAAGAAAGGGATGTTTCTTTGCCTCTGTGGTTCTTGCTCTGATATACAAAAGAAAGATGGAGAGGAGAACTGATGTTGTGCCATAGGAAAAACCTGTCAGCAATCTCAGTTCTCACTTCAGTCGTGAATTCACTAGGCCAGTTACAGTGCACCCAAGCCTCCCCAGATTTGTGATATTGAATAATAATGCAGATTTAGCTTACCATGCTGATCTAATTATTACTGAGACCATCTGTTTGAAGTTCTATGAATGCCTGCAAAATCCTGTATTGTCTTATACTTAACTTTTTTTGTGATATGTGGCCAGTGTAGTTTGATTGCAGAGGGATAAACAGGAGATGTCATTGTGTTTAGCAGTTTGTTTTTAGCATAAAGTAAGGATTTAATCAGGAAAGAAAAAAGGAAATTCCAGAAGGATTCTTCAGAAGCTAGTGAAAACAGAAAACTCTGGGTAGTCTTCAAGGTTCATCTGACTGTTTTTCTTTCTCTTACTTGGGTATTCCTATAATAGGAATTGCACCCTAGTTGGGTGGTATACAGCTGTAAGCCAGTCATCATCATGGAAGACTGAATAGCAAGGAAGCAGATTTTGGCTAAATTTCAGGAGAAACCTCTCAGCCAAGGAGAGGGTTTGGGCTAGATGACATCCTTAGCTCCTTCCAAATCTATGAAGTTTTGATTTTCATGCATTGCCAAAGCGATATAGTACCTTGTTTTCTTTATTCTCAAACAATACAATTGCAGAGAATTTACTTCCTATCAAATGGCAGGCTGAGGCTGGCTCAGTGAGTGTAGAAAAGCTGATAAACTGATAAAGCTGGAGAGGAGAAACACAATTTATGAATTTGGATGGTGAATAGAATAGTTTGATTACAATGACTAAACAGTTCCAATGTTCTCCTTTTAATATATGAGTCATCATGGCAAAACATGAATTATCGTCCTGTTGTCTTTTCTTTAGCCTATGCTTCTTTCTCTTGGGGGAATTATGGAGCTTGATTCTGATGTTAGAAGCATTAATTCACTTTCCAAAGGCCTGTACCAGAGCTGAAAAAGGCGAAAGAGAATGAAAGACCAGAGGTGGCTTTGTGGGTACCTGATAAACCTGCAGCCAAGCCTTCAGGTATAGCTTTGTCCAATCATAGAACTTGGTCTACATAGCATTAAATATATTGCATGTTAAAGCAATGTGTAATCTGGGTCATGCATGATGAAGTTGTGGCTGTGTTTGCACGGTCACTTCAGTTTACCAAGAGGTATAACTAACTCCTACTTAGAAAGGGTGGTATCTTAATGTTTCCACCAATTGTTCATGTGCGAGATTAGAAGCTATTCAGAGTGCCATTGTTCAGTAGGGAGAATATTACTTTGACTGTGAATTTCATCGTTTAGACTACTTTTCACAAAATTCCACCCTGTTCTGACAAGGAGACTTGCCATATTAAGGGGCAGGGTTACCAGAGGTGGATATTATAAAGTGGGAGCTTACCAAAAGAAAATAGGCAGAGCATCCAAAAAGTTATGTGCAAATTGACCCATCATGCATTGTTAATGAATTCCTGTCCTTACTAAAACATGCATGAATAATACAGAAGTAAGGCTGCTTCCTCCGGGATAAGTTTTCCAAAAGTACACAGTGTTGTCCATGCATATTACTGTCAGTGCAGCCCCATCTACAGTGAATGGCACTGCAGGTTGGTGGGCGTGCTGATAGTTGTCATCTAACACAGCTGGAGGGCAACAGGTTGGGACAACTGCTCTACATGATGTAACTTTGGCTGGACCTGTCCTCTGTTGAGAAATAGCTTGCGCTGTGTTATGGATGAATTGTCTTTTTTACATAGGAATTGTCTTTTTTACAATTATCCTTTTTAAACATACTTGGGTATACTGTAGTAGAGTCTAAATTCTGAAAACAGTATCTACACTAGTATTCACACACATGTATTAGAGTTCTGTACTGCCCTTCAACAGAAAAATTATCTCTTTTTGATATGGTCTTTGGGCTGATTCAGTAATCTCTATTCTTAGATACACAAAAGTTAAGTAAAAACATACAATCAAAAAAGCATAATAAAAATGATGGCATAACAATTCAACAGAATGCAAGCCACAATAAAACTAGAACATTAGGGGTCTGTATTGGTATTCAGTGCACTTGGTAACCAGTCTATTATTTCTGCTAGCCTGTTGGAACATAATAGAGTATATGCAGAATGGCTTTCCAGCAAGCAAGTGCAGCCTATGATTTCCACAAGAATGAAGGAGAAGGGCGATAGAAGAAGGGCATTGTGTTCCACAGAAATCTGAGTCACTGCATACCTCTGGAAATTAAACACTATCGAAGCCTTCCTGCCAAATGTATACAACTAGCGAACACAAAACTCCTGCCCATGAAAAATCTTCTCCTGTATTTTTTCAACTCTCCATCTAGTAGTTCCGCACAATAAAATACTATCTTTGCCTAGAGCAGAAGCAGGCTCTCTGTTCTTTGCTTCTGCTCTAAAAGCTTCATTTTTAGCAGCTCCATTCTTCACAATCCAGTTGCTTTTTCTGCTGTTTAATCAGCCTCCTTTGGAGGACAAAATGAAGGCGCTGGTGCAAAAGTTCCCTTTTCCCATTTTTGTGGTGAAAAATGGGGGAAATGAGTTGCTGAAAGGGCACTGGCAGGAATGAAGGCTGGCTAGCAGAAAAGGAGTCAGAAGGCATACAAGGAAGTAGGAACTAAGACTGAGGGAGGCAAAGAGGAATGTGCTTGGTGGGGACACATAAAAGTAAAGCAGCTAAAACCAAGCAGCTATAAATGAAAGTGCAAAACACTTTGCTGGAACTTACATCCTATTTCAGTTTGCCAAACAATAAATATGCTTGGTTGCCATGACAGGTTTGTTGACAGCTGCAGATTATAAAAGTCATGTGTTAGTAAAGGAAAATAGGAAAATAAAATCGACTTTGCCTGTCGCCAGAAAAAATTCCCTGGGCTGGCAGAATAGAGCAGACCCTTTTCCCCTATGCATCACCTTACTTGGTGGGAGCATCTGAAAGAGAACCTTCAAAGATGGTTGCTATGCAAGGAGAAGTGGATGCAGAAATAGATTCTTTCAGTTTATGTAGGGCTTTAAAAGTGAGCACTAGCATTTTGAATTTGACTTAAAAATAGAGAATTAGCAGAGTTCTTTCAACATGCAAAGTATGTTCTCAGCTATTTTGTCCAAGTTAGTATCTTAACTGCAGTTTTCAGATTATCTTGCACTGGCGTAGTCCAATTTGTTGATGACATGCAGATCAACAGGAAATTTGTTGATTTTCATAATGAAAAGACCTTATCCTTTGGTACAATTCTAAGTGCTTCATGCATGACTTACGTAGAAAGTCTTGTTGAATTGGGGATACTCACAACAGGAAAATTAAATGTACATTTTTTCTGTTCTATATATTTGGGTTCTATTGGAAAATGACCAATATGCTTTTTAAACTTTTAGCATCTGTCATTTTAGGACAAGTTTAGAAGAGCATCAGAAAACATTTTATAGTGTCTTAAGTACCATAATTTCAAAGTCTACTCAATTGTTTTGAGCCTTTGGAATGACTGCAGTAATTCATGTTCTTGAGGCTTAGGTAGATTCATGGTACTTCCAGAGAGTTATGTATATGTGGCAGGTGGATTCATACCACACAGGAACCAACACTGCAGAAAGCCAAAGAGCATGCTTTGTTTGCCCCAGGGCCCACAATATGCCAAAATAGGGGGCTTCTGAGGTGTCTCTCCCCCCCCCCCAGCTCTGTTTTCTCCTCCCCTTGCTAGACATCATGGTAGCCCCTTATTTTTGGTTGGTGCCACACCCACGGTCACCACAAAGTAAGGGCAGGATGAAATGGCAGGTGGAATCAGTGCAGAAGAACCATTGTGGCTGGGGGTGCTAGGAAACCCTAGTGTAAGCATTAGCTTGTTAGGATGCCTCATAGCTGCAAAGAAGCTACCCTGCACACTAAGTTTGGACAGTATACCAAGCCACCATGGCCTAGCATGTGATGGGAACCCAGTCAATGGATCTTTTGCTCACTGATATAACCCGCATACACAGCAGTCCTGTGCTTAGCATGTGGAACAACTCTGCCATTCAGGTTTATGATGTATATTAATATGGTTCTTGTTGCTGATGAGACAGGAAGACATCTCACATGCATAACTGCTGTGTACTCACTCTTGGCCGGCTCAAATCAACTGTCGGAAGCTTAACATGACTGATACTACACACAAAAATGTAAGAGCCAGGCTGGATCCAACCCGGGGTCCGTCTGCTCCAGCATTCTGTGGCCAGCCAGCTGCTCACAGGATCCTACAAGCAGGATAACAGTGCAACAGCAACTGGTGTACTTGGCCATACTGCCTTGATACTAGAGGTAGAACATAGTAAGCAGGAGGGAGGTAGCATTTAGCGATCAGGGCTATTCACTTCTGTTTCTGCTCTGAAGAAGCTGGCTGTAAAGACACAGTTGCCGTGTGAGTCTGGACCGGCTCATTCATCCTATCAAGAGTCTGCAGGGGAACAGGGAGGCAGGGATTGTTTAAACAATTCATGTTGATGGCTGAGCCAGTGTTCCAGCGCAGAGCAGCCACTGGCTCTAGCTGGGCCACAAGCACCCCAGTTGCTAATTCACATACTGAAAAATGCATGCATTGGTAGAAAAGGCATTAAGCTGTGACAAGTATTTCTTATAGCTTTCTTTTGAACATGGGGGTTAAGATTCGTCCCCTCATCCCATTTTCTTTCTGAAAGAGAATCTTAACCCTCCATCTCACTTTCTTTCTGAAAGTGATTCTCTGGAGAAAGTAGGTGCTTCCCAAATGCTCTGAAAGAAGAGTCAAAAATGAACCTTGCTTAGGAACAAGGGTAAAACCTGAAGCAATTTATCTATTTGTTTAGCTTGTTTAGCTCTGTGAAGTTCAAGTGGGGAGGGGAAGCTGTGCTTCCAGAGCTTCAGTTGGAAGGGTGAGTAGGATTCTGAGTGAGGGGAAGCCCTACTGTTATCTCTGATTGGTGTTAAAGAGGGGCCTGTAGGGGAATCTCTACGTAATCTCTCATCAGGGGTCATGAGGATTCCTCTCCTTGCTGCTGCCTCCCGCAGACACACTCTTTTTGCTTCCAGGGGCGTGACCTGGAGAGGAAGCAGAGAGCTTGGGAAGTTGGGCCTGTGGAAGGAGTCCAAGTCTCCATTGGTTGAACGCAGAACATCTGTGGCCTAGATTTTCCCAACCCCTGTTTTAAACAAATGCAGACAGGCCTGGTAATTTCTGTTGGTTCTGAATTATTGTAACTCAGTGAAAAAATCTTCATGAAAATAAAATTTAGCCTTGAACATAGAAAAAG